TACTGGGGTGCATATTTTTGCCAAAATGCTTCATCATTGTTTTCAGGCCTGAGCTGAACCAAAAGGAGCAACTGATAAAGAGGAATTAGTACATCATGTGATCTTTCTCAGTATGAGAAATAGCTGAAAGAAGAGAATAGAAAGGCTGTTTGCTATCTAAAGGAAATGTATAGAAGTCATTCTTTCTGTTAAAAGAGGATTTATGGAGTATTATGATGACTATTAAGATTTTGTTCTGTCACCCATTCCAAAAACTATGTTCATGGTGTTGCATTTTCAACCATTTTCCAAGATTCTTTGACATAACCCTTTTTTCCTTTCAAAACACCAAGTTAATACGTTTTGAGAACCTAGTTTTCATTGTTTCTTTTAGGAGATTCAATATATTCACTCAAAGGATGTCCAATGTTTGCAGCTGCCACTTTCATGGTTTTTATACTCTCAATTCATAATCCACCAGATAAATATATTAAAAATCTAATTAACACTGTAACCTATTATTGGATTTTAATAATATTGAAAATTTAATGAAATGAAATGAAATGTATTCTTCCTTCTGCCTCATCCTTTCTTAGAAGTGAATGCTGTCCTATGACCACAATAAAGATTGACTTCGTTTGGTTTGATATTAGAAGTCTGGCATTTGGCATGAAAAGCAAAGGTGAAATTTAGCCCAAATCTTGAAAAAAATGTATATACCCCTTTCTTATACAGGGAAGGATGACCAAGATGAAAATTATCTTGGAAAAAGTTGTGAGTGATCCACTTGTTCTATATATGAATTAAGGCAAAATTATTATATATGCCTTATCTATCATCTGCAATTGCATGAGATAGAAGCGTGGCAATTTCCCTATGAATGGCATTATGATTAAATAATGTTAAAAATAAACACATTAACATGCAGCAAGCAGACTTGTCATTGACAAACAAGATATTGATATGCGGGATAGATTTTTGCCTTTTAGGGTCAACTATCAACAGTAAAGGAACCAGCACTCAAGAAACATGACGCAGGCTATCATTTGATAGGGTAGCAATGAAAGTTTCAGAGAAGATATTCAAATGCCCTCACGTGACAATATACATGAAGACAATGATTCAGCAGAGGAACACACAACAGATTGAAAAAGAACAGTAAAAATTCTGATACTTGCACCCAGTAACCACAATATTTTTTTTTCTTTGTCTGTTTAACATTTCCTTTTCTGGTTTGTGGCTTTGGGGTTCCCTGCTCTGGAAATCCCTTCCAAATTCAGTGAGATTTTTGTTTTGGTTTCTGATAATCCAAGAAATGTATAGCCCATTATATTTATCATGTACTGTACTTTAATTATAGAGAGGTATGTATTTTAAGCTCTTGAATCTCTGAATTGTGTTCAGGGTGACAGGAAATAGTAATAAACTCTGAAAGGATATTTTGCCATATTGACAAGTTTCTGTTGTAGTCATTCTGTCCAATAGCTATTAATATTGAATTTGGAGATATATACATCTATACATCTGAATGCTTATTACCTCTTCATGGAATTTGATGTCTGACGGGACTGTTCTTATCATGTTCTATGTGGTTCATTTTGGTTCAGGAAAAAATGCTTATGGTTTCATAATTTCATAAATTAATTTCATAAATTATGATTTCATAATTTCTAAAATTATTGAAACATAAAAATGGTTGATTAGTTTCTTAATTACATCTGCATTTCTTTTCAGAAAGCAGCTGTTGATTATTTCTTTATAAAAGATTGTAGGCTCAATTTCTACATATGAGGGATGCATTTATTACTTTAATCTTCCGTACTAAATGCTTTTCTTCTTTCTGGATACTAGGTCCTGCCCCTTTCAGTGTGCAATGAACATGGCTTTCGAGAAAATCAGAAGCAAAGGAGGGAAGGGGAGAAATGTTGTCGCTATGATTGTGTTCCCTGCCCAGAAGGGAAGATCTCAAACCTTCAAGGTCTTTCCCAAGCCTATGATTCTATGACAACCAACAACAAAAGCTTGAGATATCTCACAAGAAAAGGACATAGGTAGAACAAAAAGGACTTTGAATAATTATGCGTGTGGCAAAACTAGGGTAAAAGAAGTATATGGACATTAAAGTAAATGTTCAAAAAAGTATATAGGACTAAATGCAAGTATGACCATCAAGACACCTTGTGTTATGTGACTCCTTCCGCTCTACAAAAAAGAGATGGTGTTCTTGGTCTTCTTAAACAGAAGCAGGAAAGGAACCATTTTCACCTTGCAGGGTAAAGTATCCAGAGCAAGGGAGATGCAACTAAAAAGGCCTACCTCCAAATTGCTATACTTTTTGAGGAGGACGTATGCTGCTTGTTCTTCTGGACAGCACTTATAGGATAGGCAGATTCTCCCTGGAGTAGACAGTCATGGGATTAATGAAGAGTCGGGCCACAAGGACCACCTTTCCATGTTATGACCAGCACCTTGAAGTGGAGCCAGAAGTTATCTGGCAGCCAATGACATTCCTGCAGAATATTTATTATTCTGAAATATTGACTTCTCCCAATTAGTAGACAGGCTGTTTCATTCTGCACAATATTCAAGAGCAGCCCCAAGCAAAGCAAATTGTGCTGGCCCAGATAATCATACAAGAAAACTGAACCTGCTCAGATCAGATCCCTTTTTACTAAGCTATTTTCTGAAAATGGTTATAATTCCTTCTCTATTTTCAGAGACTTTCTCTTTTGCTTGGACTCATGGTAGATTCCATGTACAATATTGAAAGCGTTCTCCTTAGTTGTAACAGAGCTCAGCTGGGGATAGACCTTGTTCCTGGATTTGCCAGGTGAGAGGATAATTCATCCTTTCACATACATGGTATTAACTCTGAGTCATTGAATGAGTAACTCTAACCTACCATTTTGCCTCTTTTCCTACTGGCTGCTGAATCAACTGCCAGAATATGCTTAACTATCATGATTCTAGATATGGTGCTGATGAGTCTCAGTCTAAGCTGGCTTCATGTCTGGATCAGCTGATTTTCAGCAAGGGGATCCCTTTTGAACTAACAAGGCTGCTTCCTCTTTTCCCTTTTTGTTGTTCATTATTAAACCATTAGCAATCCCAATAGTTAAGAAATAATGGGAAAAACCAAGAAATTGAAGTGGAGGGAGAACACTTGTTTAATTTATTTGCCGATGATTCAACCCGTATGATATCTGAAAAACTTGAAAGATAGTATAGAGGTGTCTGTATTCATGGCTATTAATGGCAATATTTTTTTAAAAAAAATTGTCCTTACAGATACTGTATCTTCCTAGTATCATACTTTCTTTTCTAAATTCATAGAAATACAGATTACATATGAAAGTGTTCATTATTTATTTATACATATTGTAAAGAACATTAATACTCTTTGTCAAACCAATGATGATACATTTGGAAAACAGTGATATAGAATATGACTATTTGATCAAGTCAATATATCTATTGGGGTAAGAATGTATGTCTTACCAAAATTGCTGTTTATTTCAAACCCTTTTCTTTAAACAATTATAAATTTGACAACAAAAAGTTGATTTTTTCTGAATGAATTGGGGAAAAAAAGTGCTATATTTACATCTAAATGAAGGAGGGTAGGGTACTGCAAATTTGAAATGATATTTTCAGACATTTGAAGTTAAACACAGCTTGTCTTTAATAATGAAAGAGCCAAAATAGACACTGGATAAAATTGGAAAATATCGCCATAGATTGCATGCCTATAAATAAACTAGTATTTTTAAAGAAAAGATGCACAATCTTTAAAGGAGATAATTAGTGGATATTTTTGACAGTTGGAGCAGATACAGAATAAATCTCCTCTCATTACTTTATTAGCTCTTCCTATATTTGTTTTCAAAACAGGATGATTGCATATGTATAACACATCACACACGTTATATTCCACCATACAAAGTTGTGATGGGAAGTATCTACAAAGGGGCGGGGGGGTGATGTGAAAGATTGGAATAGTGCAGTAGATTCTCCAGAAGGAAGGTGCATATTCCAGAAAGCGGGGTGAGACAAGAGACAGCACAGTCCAGAAGTTCAAGATAGCCACTCCCTAGAATCTCCCAGGGTATATCCATTTTGAGTAGTACAGATTTAGCCTGGCAAAATTCTGTCTATATGTTATAAGCAATAAAAGAACTCAGACACATTTTACAAATACACAAACACAGACTAAAAGAATATTCTGCAAAAGTATTAATTATGAATGCGATCAAAATTGAGAGATTTTCGAAAGAAGTTATGGGAACTAGATTTGGAGAGAGAAATATCAGAAGACAAGTGGATGTGAGTATGAAAAAATACATTCCTAGAGTCTCTCTCAAAAACATTGAAGGAAATGCAAAGATTTTATATAGTTGCAACTTATCCCAGTTAAAAATGTCATATCTGATGAAAACATACAAATAAGCCAAAAGCACCACTTTTTTTTCCACATGTAATGTAATAATGTAAAGTAAATTAAAGCAAACCAATTTTGGGGAAATGTCATTTCACGAAATTGCATTAGTAACTAATCAAAGAATAGTAACTTTTCTATTATTTTCTAATAAAAATTAAAGCATGAAAATTAAGCCACTCCTGTATTGTTCTTACTATTCTGGGTGCTAATTAGCAGTAGCAAAATATTGGAAACATTTAGATGATTGATGACTTTAATAGAAAGAATGTGTGTGTATATATTTTATTAACATATGCATTATATTAATAAAAACTAGCATATCTACAATAAACTATATTATTGCAAATATAAAATGGTTTTCTTTTCTTTATTTACCAATAAATCATATTATTAATGTAGTGTAAAATGTTTCTTTTGTAAGATGCCAAAAATTCACTGATTTCCATCTGTGGAATACTATTTGGACAACAGGAAAAATAAAATTAAAAATAATTAAAAATAAAATTAAAAAGATTCTGAAGTATCTTTAGAAGATCCTGAACTGAACAACAATATGAAGAGAAAAGAAAATATCTTAATTTCATTACTCCTTGCCTCTTATTAATAACTTCCTCTTGCTTAATTCAGGCCTCAGCATGATGATGTAGCATTTGGGGAAAAAAATACAGCACAGTAACCCAGCACCAGAAGACAAGATGGAAAAGACCTCCACAGCCACCATGGCTTTTCCTCGGGTGCTCAGATAGGTTGGAACAAAGGAGATCCACACACTGCAGAAGGCCAACATGCTGAAGGTGATGAACTTGGCTTCATTAAAGCTGTCAGGCAATTTGCGGGCAAGGAAGGCCACAATGAAGCTGGCTATGGCCAGGAGGCCCATGTAGCCCAGGACACAATAGAACATGGAGGATGACCCTTCATTGCATTGGAGGAGGATTTCTTCAGTAATTGAGTGCATGTCTAACTCAGGGAATGGGGGAGAGGTTGACAACCACACAGTACAAATGCTGGCTTGGAGAAGAGAGCAGGAAAAGACAATGGAAAAGGCCAATCTTTTCCCCACCCATCTCCTCATCCTGGACCCAGGCTTTGTAGCCATGAATGCCAGAGAAACAATGATGGTTTTGGCTAACACACAAGAAACAGCAAACGAGAAGATGATCCCAAAAGCAGATTGTCTGAGAAAGCAGGTCACTTTTCCTGGTTGCACCAGGAAGAGTGAAGAGGTGAGGAAGCAGAGCAGGATGGAGAGAAGAAGGATGTAGGTGAGATCCGTGTTGTTGGCTTT